GGGCGAAATGAGGACCCAGTACATTGCTCGGTGCCTACTATCCTTGAGTTCCTGCAGTCCCTCCTGGACGACGGCCGGCGTCCCGCTACCGTCAGGGTGTACGTGGCTGCCATATCAGCTCAGCACGCAAGGGTGGATACAGTGGGGAGCCATAGGCTGGTATCCCTTTTCTTAAGGGGAGCTCTGAGACTTCGCCCCCCGAATATCCCAAGGGCTCCTACATGGGACCTGCCCTTGGTACTTGAGGCCCTATGCTCACCGCCTTTTGAACCCTTGTTACAGGCAGAACTGAAGTGGCTCTCAGCTAAGGCCGCTTTCCTTCTTGCCATCACCTCAGCAAAGCGTGTAAGCGAGCTTTAGGCCTTGTCCGTGAACAGCTCGTGTCTGAGGTGGAACTCAGATGGCTCAGGTGTCACACTATGCCAAACACAGCGTTCCTCCCTAAAGTGCTGGCACGCTCTCATTGTAATCGGCCCATCCAGCTGGCACGGTTTGACCCCCCACCAGGGGAGGGGGAAGAGAGGTCAAGACTCCTGTGCCCGGTGCGGGCCCTCAGAGCTTATGTCCAGACTACCGTAGGCATACGTCAGTCCGAACAGCTCTTTTTGTGTTACGGTGGTCCTAGAAGGGGCTGTGTGCTTTCAAAACAGCGCTTATCCCACTGGATCGTGGATGTCATCGCCCAAGCATACAAGGCGAATGACCGTCCCCTGCCACCCAGAGTAAAGGGCCACTCTACCAGGAGTGTCTCCACGTCTTGGGCGACCTTGAGAGGTGTGCCCTTGGAGGACATATGTGCCGCGGCCACATGGGCATCCCCGAGCACATTCACCAGATACTACAGGTTGAATGTTGCCGCCCCTCACCCGCTGGGTGTGTTCCTCCTACAGAGTCCGCCATCCTTATAAGGTGAGTGTTCAGAATAACTCGTGACTCTGTTGGTATAGGTCATCAAGTGCTAAAGCACCGCCTCTGGCGGTCAGTAAGGATGAAATAGAACGATAGTTACGTATGTAACTACGGTTCTATGAATCCTGGATGACCGCCAGAGTTCTGGGTCACTCGGAATCTCGTGTTTCTGCGAGAAGATTCCAGAGGACTGAACTCGTTGACAACACCGGAACTTATGCCTTCCGGGGTCATACGAGGTCCCACGTGACTTTGTTGATATAAATATTCGACCAATGCATGCGCGAGACAGAAGATATTCAGTGCTAAAGCACCGTCTCTGGCGGTCATCCAGGATTCATAGAACCGTAGTTACATACGTAACTATCGTTTTACATACAAAAGCTTTTAGTTGATAAGCATGCAGGTACAATTTAATAAATTAATTGTTATTAAATTGGTGATGTCTCCACAACACAAGGCAGATCGATTTCTTTAGAAAAAGTGTTGCGAGTATTCTTGTAAATGTTAAGGAGCGGTAAGAAATCTTAATTGTATATCCTTTATACAGTAGAGTTATAAAAGCATAATGCAGACTGATTATTATAAATTGTCCGAAAAATGCTCTTATACTGGACACACACACACACGGGTTGATGCAGGTCCCCCGGGGGGAGCGACAGTGCAGTGTAACATTGTACTTGGTTTACTTGGTCTACTTGGTGATGTCTCCATGGTAACTGTTATGTCTGACCTTCAAACATGTGCGCTGCTTTCCATCTGGCTCAGGTTGGCTAATCAGATCACATCAACACACACATAAATGCACTGTCAGTTCTCATTATGAATGAAGGGCACTCTTTGTGATTTTGAGATCATCCAAGTTTGTTCTTAGTCAGTGTAACCTCTGATGTTATTTCCAGCAGAAAGGCATTTTAGGATTGCTAGTTGTTTTTATTCGCACATAAGCATGCTGCTGCTTAAACAAGATGAAAAGTTCCCTTAGAGCTGCCGTAGTTTGCTGTGGGTTCAAATGCAGACTTGATTCAATTACTTGCCTTTCATCACCAAATAGGCCATACACCGGCATGCTTTCAAAAACTGCCCTTTTATTTCTGTCCTGTTCCATACCCTCATCTGCTGTTAGCCAAATTCATAAGGAGCTCCAGAAGGGCCAACATCTGGAGGCTCCTTAGGCCCAGGGCCGTGCATCCGTTTTGGGGCAATGAAGCCTGGAGACCAGCCCCTCCTGTTGAGCTCAGCCTTTGGTGTGTGTTGTACATTCAGGGTCTCCACTTCCTGAGTTCTGGTGCCTTGATGTGGCCACAACCATAGCGCATGATTTATTACAGTACTAACTATGTCCCCACTGCTAATACTGCCATTATTATGACCATACACTCCCCTCCTCCTTCCTCAATCTCCCACCTGGAGTCGCACACTGAAGCCTTTATCAGATACAGCCGACACAGCTCTGGCTCGTGTGATTATGTTGTTGCCTTAATGGATGTTTGGCCTCAGTAGAAGATGTTTGAAGAGGGTGGAGGAGCCATCCTGCGGATGAGGTGACAAAGTTGTTGGGACAGTGACACAAATTGTTAATTGAGATCAGCTGTTTCCATTTGTGTTCCCAACTTGTTGTGTTGTAAACTAGTTTGCTGCCTTGTGTGGTTTACGGGTAGAAGGTCTTTCTCAGGGGGAACCAGGAAAAGTGGGGGTGGAGGTGGCTGGGAGGTAAACTAGAATTTGGCTATGTGGCCAATCAAAGGGGCCTCATCAAAGTCCCTCAACCAGTGCTCCCCACAACCTTCCTTGCCTCTTTTCCTCTGTTTATGTAAGCGCTACGCAGTGTAATCAGCAGGGCATGAGCAGAAAGAAAGATGGATGAAAGGAGAAGAAGATGGAGAGGTGTGGAGATGGAGTAAAGTGTTTGTGTACACAAAGCCAGAGTGAGGAGGCAGAAGAAAGAGGGAGGAGGGCAGCGGACAGGGGAAGTGAGGGGTCCAGAAATGAGAGCGTGTCCAGAGAGGAGGGATGTGGTGGACTTGTGTTTACAGGCCGCAGTCACACAGGGCACTGTGGCTTTGTGTGTCAGCACTCCGACTTTGTGATAGGTTACCACTGCAAAAGAATAATCAAGACATATTTACACTACAGCAGAAAAGCATTCAACTCCTCAGGAAGTGTACCACTTTAGCATGTGAATACAGAAGCAACAAAAACCACTGTTCCTTCATCAGTAAGTCACATACATCCTTCAAAAAGTATAAACAAGGAAAAAGGAAGTGGAAGCCCATTTTAAACACCCATTTATTCATATATACATCCCCTATTGTGCCATGGTGTCCCCTCTGAGACACCAGCTCGGGTATCCCCCTGTGATCCCCCATTAGTAACAGACTCGCTTGCAGGCAGCTGCCTCAAAGCTCCACAGAGGTATCGGATCTCCTCCTCTTCTTCATCTCCTTAATTAGAACAATTAAGAGATTTACAGGACAGATGGATGGAAATCCAGCTGGCTGTGGTACCCGTCCCTGAGGAGGACTGACGATGAGGAGGTGAGATCTGAGTGAGGCAGCACGGCTTTAGAGCATCTCACTCGTATGACTCTGGCTCCCTCTGGTGGTCGTGTATGGATACGGTCAGTGGTTGTGAACATAAACGGTTTTTTATGTTTTGATCCAAAGGTTTTCCATTACTATTATGAACTATTATTTGCATATAAATATTGTGTTTGCTATAACCTAAACCTTGTTTTTTTAGCTGAACAAGCTGAGAGTTGATACATCCGTTACAGCTAGTGGCTTGTAACCTGATGTGTTCATTTTTCTACATGACACACAATGTTTAACTCGATACAATAAAGTACATGTAGATGACTTTGGTAATTTACTAGGCTATATTTATAGCGTAAAGCAAAAACAGCAAAGATGTGGTATCAATTCTTTACACATAAAGTCACATACAAATATAACAAGTCCTTTGATTTCAGTTGAGTTTTATGCAATCAAATAGCCGATATTGTGTTAAAATGAGAAAGAAAAAAATAACCAAAATGACTAATAAAGTAATGCAAAAAGTGCAAGGAAGGTTTGAAAGTAAAATTCCATTTGCGTTAATGTTGTGATTAAAGTTTATTTAATGATTAACACATTTGATTATTTTTTTATTTTGGTTAATATGAATCAACTTAGCACACATACATTTGTAGTAGATATAATTTCTTTCCTCAATACCATAACAAATACATATATATATAAACAATTCTATTTAGCAAATGTATTAAAATGTCCTGTAAGATAAAGCCTCATTTTGGAGGATGTTTAGAGATTCACAGCTCTTGAAGTGGCTCCGCGCCTCTGTAACGAAGCGCTCCATTGGTCAGCCACCTGCACACAAGAGAAAGGTATTGTCAATAAAGCAGGTTATCTTTAAGTGGCTTATTTTGCTATAGAAATGTGTCACATACTGCAAACCACTCACATGTTGAGGTTGCCTTTTTTCTGTTTTATTCCTTTATGAATAGAAAATATAAGATTCAGAATAAAGAAGGAAAACCTTTCGGATGGGTTTAGTTTACACTGTTCGGAATACTCACGGAGAAGCTTCCATGTTGTTACCATGCCAACAACCAACAGCACCAGCACCACTGGCACTGCGATGGCTGCTAGGTGACCACCTTTACTCTTGTCAACGCTCGCCTACAGAGGGGGTTCAATAAGTTCATCCTTTCATGCACTGCACATTATATATCTTGTAATAATTAAATGGCATGAACAGATGTAACCCTCTAGGGGGCAGAACATCAAAACAAGCTAACAGTCACCAGCTAATGTTGTTTTTAGCTAGTTAGAAAAACAATTGCCCAATTTCCCACCCTGTTGATAAACAGAAATATTAACTTTAATTTGGAGAGACATTTCTGGCTGCCTCTTTCTTGAAGTTCTTTTTTGGTCTTTACTCAAACCTAAGAAATATAGCATTATTTTCACTTTTTGTGGATTTATTTTTATGTTTAAACTGCCTACAGCAGGGGATGATGAGCAGAGGTGAAAAGTGACGTAATACTTTGAATGTAGACCTTCTTACTGTGCTTGTGTGTGCGGTACTTGTAATTTACTTGAGTACACATTTCAGGGAGAAATACTTTTTACTTAACAAAATCGTAATGATTAGTTTGGAAATTCAGATATATATATATATATATACAAATCAACGTATAGCTATTATTAAACATGATTGCTCCACAAGGCAGTATATAGATGAACTGGAATTAGCCCTAGCTTTACCAGCAACATTATTGGTGTTTACATTGATGCATCAATAATTATAATCCAGTTATGTGACATATCCTTTTCTGAAAATGGACCAACCAAAGATACATTTTGAGTGCAGGACTAACTTTATTTCTGCATTGGTTCTATTACTACTTTTACTAAATAAGTACTTGTTCCACCACTGTTGAGTCTCAGTCTCACACACAGAGTAAATGTACTGTATGCTATAAATAAAAAACAATGCGCTACAAGAGGCCAACCCTCAGTGGGTTTGTCACTATCAGCAAATTTATTAATTTAACACAGCCGTGCTATTTCTTAATATCGAAAGAAAACAATAATAATGATTGTTTTCATACTTACAGCAGCATGAGTGTCAGTAGAAATGGTGGTAAGGACATCACCCCTCTGACGACCTGTCAGACACCCACAAAGGAAATTAGCTAAGAAGGTGTTTTTCAGAAAACTGCTGAATATGCAAAAACTAAAATGCTATCAAGGAACAAATCTGAGAGTGCGAGTAAGGGCCACTGCTTGAACTTTTCAACCAAATGCATCACTTGAGATGTATGCAATATGTATCACAGTGTTAATTGAAGAACATTATGATGCAAAATATGAGTATAGATTTAAATATTAGTTTTCTTTTTCACAGGGATTTACCGTCTCATCTCATTTCATGTATTTTGTGTATTCTATTTCATTTTATTTTTAAATGTATATCAAATTGTTAGATTTTCCATCTTATTTCCCATTAATAATGACATTCTGTGTTTTCTCAATGGTATCTTATTGTAGAGAACCTTGGGCTGCATTTCTTGTATGAAAGGTGCTACAGTATACAATTAAAGCTAGAGTAATATAATCATAACTCATAATTATTTTAAAAAACGATTGTGATAACCAAGTATGGTTCCTTTCGATGGTGTACCACAGTAACATACAATAAAAGACAAAACACAAAAACAATTGAAACAATTCAGAAAAACGTGATACCTCCTTCTCCAGTGGTGATGGTGAGGACGTTGCTGGCTCCACTGGTGGCCAAACTGTTCTTGGCAAACATGCGGATGTTGAATGTGGAGGGATTCATCTCTATTATTGTGGCGTCTGTCTGGTTAGGGCTGAAGTCAATAACTGTCTTTATGTAATCCCAGGAGGCTGTGAAGAAAATAAGATTTAACATAACATAACCAGCGGGATTACAGCGGCAATGTCAATTCAGCTTTTACAGTTACAGGGAAGAAGCAAGTCTTTTTTTATTCCATTAGAAATGCCTCTTACCGTTAGCTGATTTGGACTCCAGGTAATAGCCAGTGATGGGAGTTTCTCCTTCAAACCCGGGGGTCCATAAAATGGAAAATGTATTGTCTCTGACCTCCTTTAACTCAACCACCGGGGGGTCCGGGGGCACTAGAGACATGCAGCAAAGTTTTTTTATATACAGCTTAGTTTATTTTGTGAATTTGAAAATGTTTCTTCTGCATATAGATTGTAATGATCATGGCATGTAACAAACCACAGCTGTGATAAATGAATATACACTTAAGTGACACTTTGACAGCACATTGAGATCTAACTTGAATTTGGGCATTTTTCCTCAGAGACTGTGGAAGACCTACATTTAAAGGTCCCCTTTTAAACAATTTTTCATCAATATATTATAGGTCTCAGATATATACAAACATGTCTCTGAAGTGTTTGTTTGTATTTGGCTCCAAATACCAAACAGATTGTGCATTGTAGCATCCCATAAACCCCTCTGTTTCAAAAGTACTGATTCTCTGTCTGCTACTTTAGATGAAAATAAGGAGCCACTCCCCACGCCCCTCTGAGAGAAATTTGATTGAAAAGAACACAATGGTGCTCTAGGAGGAGATTCAGGTGATAA